TCATTCGATCTCACAAGATCGTCATACAATTTAAAAAAATTTTAAAAATCTCTCAAAAATAAGCACTCTTATAATAAAAAAGGGGTGCTTATTTTCAAGAGTATACGGTATTAGCAATTCATTACAATTAAACAATTATAAAAATTTTATTAAAATAAAAAAAAATAACAAAAATTCAATATTTTATATTATTTTATATTATATAATTATAAATAAAATATTTTTAGTTTAATTTATTAATTAATAATTCTTTATTATTCAATATATATTTTAAAATTAATTTGAATCATTTTAAAATAAAAATTGTATATTTAAAATAAGTTTAATTTTAAAATCAGTTTATCAAAATAGATTATTTAAGTTTTAAATTAAAATTAAAATTAAAAAACCTGCATTCTTAAATTAAGATTAAACTAGTTTATTAGAGAATCATTCTATTTCTATATAATATAAATTATATATTTAAAGATTTATGTTTAGAAATAATTAATTAATTAGACGATTAATTAATCATAATATGTTATTATATAATTATAAATTTAATTTATGAAAAAATTTTTATTTTAATTTATTAATTTCAATAATTTTAGAATTCTCTTATTAATAAACTATTCCTAATTTATACTAAAATTTAAAGATATATTTAAATATGATAAAAATATAATAAAAATATAATCTTAAAATTTATACTAATAAATCTTAAATTTAAAACTATAATTATATTTATAAAAAAAACTTAATTAAATTTATTTTATATAATAAAGTTTAATTGAATACTATTTAAAATTAAAGTATTAATATATTTTTTAATTAAATATTTTATAAGTTTTAGAATTAATTTCTAATATATAAAATGTTTTATACTATTTTTATATTAAATTTATAAATTAAATATTTCTAAATAAAATTTATTTAAATATATAAAATATAGTATACATACTTTATAAAGAATAGCTATTTTTACTATTAAAGTAATTTAAATAATATAAAAAAAAAATATTAAAATATTAAAATATTTGATTATAGATTTTAAAATCAAAATTATTTTCCTAATTTCTTTTAATTTTAGAATAAATTTACAGTTTATTAGTATATTTATAATAATTTTGAACCTTTCTTATAATAAATAATTTAGAAATATTTAATTCTAATTTTTCTTAAATTATATATATCTATATTTTTAAAAAAGAAAAAAGATTTTTGTTTTGAATACAAACTCTTAAATATTTAATATAATATATAGAATATTATTGTTTTTATAATTGTTAAGCTTATTATTATATTAAGTTGAATTAGTTTTATAATTATTTTTTATTTGTAATGATATTAAATCAAAAATCAAATTCGAAGATAATGTTACATTTAATTAGATAAAAATTAACATTACTTTAATGCAATACAAAAGTTATATTAAAAATGGTACATGAGATCATCAAAATTATTTCGTTTGGAACATACAAACTTAAATTTTTTTTTAAAAAAAAAACTAAATATTTAACTTTATTATTAATTCTTTTACAAAAAGGAGATATAGAAAATAAATAAATATTTATATAAATATACTGAATTATTTAGTGAAAAAAAATTGGATGGATAATAAAGTAACTCTAAATCTTTAAACAAAAATATCGATTTTTTAGAATTTTAAACGCAAAAGAAGGGATTTAATAACGGAAAAATCACTGACCATAAATAAAACCAAATATAACGATAAATTATTTGTTCGTTATATATTGGAGTCAATCTTATTTGGAATATATCAACAACAAACGAATGACAAGCATACAGCAACACAAAATGTAAATTTCATAAGTCCTTTTAATTATTTTCTTTAATTCAAGAAAATGCCATTGACGCGAAATAAATTACATATATGTTTATTTATTTGTACATATATAAGCGCGAATGCAGATAAAGAATTATCTAATTTTGTAAAATTCCTATTAGAAAAGTAAAGTATCGAGCGATTAAACGATTTATATCATTTATTGTAGAGATGTTAAATTCAGACCTGTAAAATAGGATGCGATCAACATAAGTTTCGTAACTTTATCTTTTGCAATACGTAAGACCAACGAATGTTTACGCAAAATTACCATATAATTAATTCAATTTACACAAAGTAATTTTAATCGTCTTGAAAACGGTAAATATGTTGTGTTCTATTTCTCGAGTTTTATTTAGTAATATTAAACAGGTTCAATTTAAAGATTAGTATCTGCAACATTTTACAATGAAAATACCAAGTTCGGCTCATGAAACAAAATGAAATAAAGAAAAATATGCATGATGATAAGAAATCACATTTTTTTGAACAAGTCTTTCTTTTAAATAACCAAACGCGCAATGATTAACTGCAAACGCCCATATAACAATACAGAAACGCGTTAAGAACAATTAAATTGATTGTATTGCAGCTTTTCATGAGAAAAAAAGAGATGTTTCATGTATGATATGCCGAAAACCTTTTTATTGTTTTTAGATATCGATGTAGATTTAAATTGAATCCAAAACCAATTAGATTTTTTTGTTGCATGAAAACGGTGCATAAATAGTAAACATCAATCATCACATATGATGAAAATTACTTAAAGGGGTTGGTCATTTTGTGACTTCATCGAACAAAATGTGATATTAGCTAAAGTTAAAAGGTAAAAATTTTTCAAAAAAAAAAAAAAAAATTAAATAAAAATCCCAATTTTTTTTTTAAAAAAAAACAAAAATGATATTGCTCTCGACAATAAGACAAAAACAAAATTCTCGCTTTTTAATCGTCAAATTTAATAATCAATTCGAAAACACGCTTTCAAAAATTTTCAATGAACCGTGTTACTGGAAGAAGCCCATAACGTAAGTTAAACATGTCATATGATAAAAATCATTGTTTAGTTTTTTCGGAATTTATTATTTTTGCTCCTTTGTTTTTGTTGTTTATCAAACATTTTTTTTATCGGAAACTAACATTATATAATTTTTTTATTTTTATTTTTATTTTTTTATCCAAATTAGTGTATATTGTATATATCGTAATCGGTTATCAATTCCGCAACAATTTAAAATATTTTTTTTTCTGAGATTAGATTGTGTCAACCTCTTCAAAGAATTGAAGAAGTTGTTGATAAGCGGAACTCCTCATACATTTATGGGTATGAATTTATTGAGCCTTTTTCATTACCTTGGGTAGAAAAACTTGAACTTGTGCTCTTTAAAAAAAATATATAAACATTCGGAACGAAAAGGTTCCATTTAAAAACATTTTTAAAAATTTAGAAAATATAGGTCACATAATTACAGTCAGATCTCACCCTCTCAATAAAAAAGGGGGTGACGTCTGACTGTTTTAATCGAGAGGTGGAGATATTATTCCAACACTTTCGATTGTTGGAGTGTTGTAGTTACTTTACTGAATATGGTGGCGCAGCGATGGACCTTTATTTGTAAATCGAAATCGAAATATTATGTACAGTATATATAAATAAAATAAATAAAATAAAATAAAATTTTTTTTTTAAAAAAAAACTGTAATTCCCCAAACATTCCCCACATTTCTTTATTCCCCACATTATCTTAAATGCGAAATTGAGATTCCGATTTAGATCTTAAAGTTATCGATATAGGTAGGTATTAAAATTACTGCGCATGATATTGATATTGTCTAAATCTGGACCATGGAAATTACACACAATTTATATTTTGAACCGGGTTTTTTTATTCAATTTAAGTAAGTTTTTGGACACTATCTGGGAAACTTTTTTCTGTTCTAAACCATTTATTTTATTTTATTCGTATTGCAATTAAATACATTAAAATCACGATTGAATTTTTCAAGTAATATTACGTCATTTTAACATCAATGAAACTATTTAAACCAAATAATAATTTTATTTTATGTTTTAAATGATCAATCTCTACCCTCTTTTTACCACATCATCAAAAGAGAACAAAATGATTTATAATTAATAAAAAAATGAATAAAAATAAAAAAAAAAAAATCATTTAGTTAATTTAATTATTAAATTACCATAAAATTTATCTAAAAAACTTTGTGGTTTAGTTGGGAATTCCTCTTTAGCAAAATAATTCATAACATGCGTTTCCATCTTCCACATATTTACAGTTTCTTGATATTCGGCTCTCCCTTTAAAGATCAAAATATCGATCACACGTAAGTCGGTTACGAACCGATTTTTTTCGAATTCTTCCCGGACTTTTGCTCGTACAGCTGAAATAGGAATATCAAGAGGGTAACCTGAAACTATCTTTGGAGCCTTTCTTTATTGAATAAAATCTTTTGTGAGTACATATATATAAAAACATACAATTAAACCGTAAAATATTTTAAAAAAGCTGTATTACAGCACGTTGCCAGTCTCTGTATAAATAAAGTACTCGTTTTCTAGCATCGGCTAATGTAGGAGAGGTGGTTGTCTTAAAAGCTAGAGCGACAGACATTGTAATTCGCGAGGAAAGGAGAATAATGAGAAAAAAAAAGAGCGGCAACCAGAACTTATTATATAGGCTGATTTTACCCTAACTTTGTTTGGAGCTCAGCCAACCATAACGCATCTGTTATTCAAGTCACGTTATTAATATATCAATACAATGACATTTCGTTCGTCGGCAAGCGAATACCTTTCTTATTAGCTTTTTTTTTTTTTTTTCCTCTGCACGTTTTATATCTTCTTTGAGGTCATCGTTGAAATTTTCAAGGGAATACTTTTGTTCAATAAACTCAAGCATTGTGAAGCCTTCCAGTTCAATTTTTATGGCAAATTAATCAATCTAATCGAAGTTTATAGGCATGTTTCGTTGAATTTTTAAAACATTTTTAGCAAACAATAAAGGATTCAATAAAATCGTTATTTATTAAAATATTAACGTGTCGCGATCCTTTAAACTTATTAAGGACGTGTATCGTAAAGGAGAAAAAAAAAGCTACAAATATTAACATTTCTTTGTTTTGTTAATAGCTGTCTGAAAACCGATCCTTTCTATTGGAAATGTCTTCAACCCCATTTTCTCAATACGCTCGTGTTGATCGTGCGGAATCATCGACTCCGCCACCTCTTATAGAGTTTTCTAATGAAGGTTCCGATAACAATTCTAACCGACTTGTGACTTATGATGGTCAATTTAGTGAACAGATCAATACGATAGCTAGTACTTCGTCTGCAATCCAACCTGTAACTAGGACTGATCTTACAATTATTAATAATGATTCTGACGAGGTAGAACACAAAAGATGTTGGATTTGTTTTGGCGAAGATTCTGATAGCGAGGGAAAATGGGTTAAAGCATGCAGGTGTTCATTAATAAGTCACGAAGAATGTTTGCTGAATTGGATCGCAGAAAAACAAAGGAACACGGCTCTTAGAAAGGTATGTTATTTTTGTTTCAACATTTTATAACCATTTTTTATTAATTTTTTAATGCTCTTTTAGGTCCGATGTCCCCAATGTAAGACTGTATATCATCTTGCTGAGCAAACTTCGTACCTTTTAAGGTTCCTTACCGTCGTTGATTCTACGATTCAATCTTCTATCCCATATTTCACCATTTTTGGCGTTACATTTGCTGTAGCGATTACTAATGTTCATTATGGGTTAGCAGCTTATCTCTTATTATTCGTTTTATTGATTTTGAAAATGAACATACGTTTAGTTTAAATTATTATCCTTTTACAGTGCGTATGCTACCATCACGATGGTAGGTCTTGAAGAAGGAGAACGACTTTTGGAAGAACCATGGAGCTGGAGAATATGTGTAAGCTTTGATGATTTAAAGATAAATCTGAATGAAATCCGATACTAATCGCTCTTTAAATTACAGTTTACACTACCTCTTGTCCCCGTATTCCTTATATTTTCAAGAGCTCGTTTTGCTGATCCGGTCATGCCTCTTATTCCCATGTTGTTTATAAGGATGGATCAGTTGAGGTTAACAATGCCACCAAATCCATCCTTTACGATTTCTCTTTTACCATGGGCTAGAATTATATATAATTGGTCATATCAACGAGCATTCGGACGCCTTGAGCAAGAATGGCGTTCTCAACTTGAACCATATACTGCACCAGCTGAAATTGAAAACGGGGATAATGGTAATATTCGACCTCGTAATGATCAAGATGTATTGGACCGTTTGGATCGTAGCAATGCTGGTCGTAAAATTGTTGGAGCGTTGTGCTTGCCATGTGAGTATTACGTAGTTCGTAGAAAATATATAAGTTTGTATTTAAAATAACATTCCTCGTTAATTTTTGATATAGTTATCTCTGCCATGGTTGGAAGGTACGTCTATTTTTTTTTTTTTTTTTTTTTTAATTCCCCAACATTTTTATTCCGAAAGTTTTTGTAATAATATTATGCTTTTTAGTTTCCTTGGTAGATTCTCATTTGTACGTGCACGTATACCTGATACATTTCATCGAAACGTACTTGGCGGGTGTCTTTTCATAGTTTTCAAGGTTGTCATTAAATATTTCTTGGATTCTTCATTATACCCATTATTTCCTATGATGATTAAGTCTATTTCTTTTTTAATTTCAGGATATCATGACCCTCTCATACAAGTATCAAAGGGCCAAGCATCGACGTACACGTCATGTCAGGGAATACTCTGAATTTGTAAATGAAAGCAGGCAATGATTTTTGGAGATCAATGGATCGGAGAATAACTGAAAAAAAAAAAAAAATATAACTAAAATATGAAAATGAAAACAATTAATGGAAATTGTAGTAGGGTAGATCCCTTATTAAAAAAAAAATCTATTTTATTTTATTTTTTCCCCCCTCTTCCATATAACTTTTTACCTAATTAATTATATCGTTTTAATTTTGTTTTTTTAAAAATGTGAATATTATATAGCATTATGGATTTTTTACTACCAAATGAATTACAAATAATGAATTAAATTAGACATTTTTTTTTTTTTTTTTTTACTATTCATATATTGTAGATAACCTTGTAGCACATGAAATAGTAATGAAAAATAATACTCATCACGTGTTAATTCGGTTTAATATTTATTTCACGTGATTAGAGAATATTCGACTTGGAAGAATTTAACTTATAGAATGAATATATATAAAAATCTTTATGATTACATTTAACAAAATAATATATAATGTCAAATTAAAATAATTTTGTGAATTAAATTCAAATTCAAATTATATTGAAATTTGATTATATGATTCATATTTGAGTGCTTCGTAATGAAAGGAAGTTACAAACAAAAATTTAATTTAATTTTTAAGTTATAAAAATTCAGATTTATATTAACTCAAAAAATTTTTTTTTTAGTTTCCTCTTTTCTACTACAAAAGCATCTATTTTAACTTTTAATAATTATCAAATTTAATTCGTAATGGGCAAACCAATTCTCAGAAACTTCATGGAAAAAATAAAAAATCGTTCAAGAAGAACGATGAGAAATCGTTCGACTTGAACGATAATGTTTATACTAAATTATAAAAATCATTTTATAATCAGACTTTTATTATTATTATTATTATTATTATATTATATTATATTAAACTTTTTACGTCACAATAACATGTGACTTACATAATTCATGTGATTTTTCTTATCACGGGCGTTAGTAATCGGGAAATATAATAGTTATTTACCGGACATCATCAGGGTCACGGCTGCGCCGTGACGCCTGATGATATCTCTGATTTCGCGGTAAATAACTAATACAAATATACTTTTTTTATATTAAATCCTATTTGTTATCATTTTTAAATTAATATTAATAGTTTATTTTTATATTTATAAAAAAAAAATTAGTATTCTGATATTAATTAAAAATATTTTATAACATAAATTTATGAATAATATATTTACATTGATAATTAAAAATTTTAAATTTATAGATTTATAAAATAATATATTTACTTTGATAATTAAATTTTTAAATTTATAAATTTGTAGAAATAAGCATAAATAAAATTGATATTATAAACGGCATACTAAAAATTGTGATACAGTATCTTTAGATCTGATATGTTTGATATATTTGTCATTTCTAATATATCTGATTTGATTAATATATAAGATATGAGAAGTTTGCTAGGAAATAGAATTCTGAATGAGTCAAATCGAATCAAGTTTAAAGATCAACTTTATTTGACTTTTTTTTCAAATTAAGTCAAGCTGATTTTATAAAATCTTTTGATTTGACTTGATTCAAGTTATATAAATTTTAAATTTGACTTAATTTGATTCAACTCAATTTTAATTCAACTTGATTTTAACTTGAATTTATTTGAGTTGAGTCAAGTTCAAATCAAGTTTTAAGTCAAATTTAAATTAATTTATAATATTTAAATATAAAAAATTATTTTTAAAAAAAAAAAAAATACTAAAAATTAATTTTATTTTTTTTAAAAATATGGTATGACTTTTGATTTAAATTATGGTAATAAAAGTAATAATAGTAGTAAAAATAATAGTGTAATGAAATATCACATATAATATAATTATATCACATGTAGTATCCCACTTATTCTAGATTATAGTATCACATATAATCTACTTTTTTTTATTATTTCTTATATCTCTTTTATATTCTAGCTTTGTCTTTAAATCTTTTTATTATTCGTATTTTTATATTAATATGATTTTATTATCATAATATAATCTAATTACCACACATATATAATCTAAATATTACATTTTTCTTCTTATTTTTGAGTTGTTTACATGCTAAATTCTATAATAAAGTTATTGATATTCTGTAACTATTTGGATATCTGATTTTATGTCAAAGATGCTAACCTCTTGTACCTGATTGGATACTAAATTCTATATTAAAATACTTATCTTTTTACATCTATTTAATTGCTTTCTAGATGCTGAAGTAGTATAAAAAAAAGTGACAAGTGATACAGTAAATTTGTGATAAAAATTCAGCTAACATTATACCATAATTTTGGTTAATCTTTAGGATACATGATTTGAGAATCTAACTCAATACCATAGTAGTGCTATAATAGTGTTCTAGAACTGGTAAAGAGTTTGAATAATTTTATTAATTTGTCAGTTTTAGACTATCTATCTGCCAACTTGGATGCTGAGTTATTATATTCAAAGGTCTAGCTGAATTTATGAAATAGTACTAACTAATATTATTATTAATTTACTGTACATTCAATTCTAAGCACTTTCTCATCACTTTTAAGTAACTTTCATACAAATATATTATTTTTGATTCAGCATACAAATTATTTTGATTCATCAAATTGTGTAATAGAATACCGTATACTCTTGAAAATAAGCACCCCTTTTTTATTATAAGAGTGCTTATTTTCAAGAGATTTTTAAAATTTTTTTAAATTGTATGACGATCTTGTGAGACCGAATGGCGATCCTTAATAATGAATCGCGCGTATTGCGCGTTTGAGTATAATGCGTATTCTGCACTTACTGCGTGTAACCCTGTGACTTTTTTATAAATGGTAACGGTCAAACGTAAACGTAATTCATATTCTATTAAATAAAAAAAAGAGGTTGTTACTTATGCAAAACAAGTAGGAAGAAATAAAGCAGCAAGTCATTTTGAACTTGATACTAGTATGGTTGGAAAATGGATGAAAGCCAGTTCAAAATGGGATGAAGTAGACTAAAATAGTAAAAGAATTAGTTCAGGCCGAAAACCTTTTTATCCTGAGTCCAAAAAAAAACTGTATAATTGAATTATGGAACAGAGAAAACAAGGTTTAGCAGTAACTTATGCAATTGCAAAAGTTAAAATGTTAGAATTTTTAGAAAT